GTTCGATCCTCAACACCACATAAAAGTAAATTAAAAAGAATTAAACTCTGGATAGTTAGTTAATTATTCTAGATTCATGATTAATGTTCTTAATCATGAAAAAAGAAGCAATGGCAATGAATTGGAAATGGAACATGGCAGCTACCTGTCCCCCATACACAAATTGCAATACTTAAACTTAGTCATTTAGATTGTACTTGCCTTTTTCAGAGAGTATATGAAAAACAAAAATGTTTTTATTTTTTTCAAATTTTTGTTTTTATTTTTTTCAAGTATCCTAAGCATGATTCTTCATAGAATATTATATATACTAGGGAAGTTATGATAGAAATTGGTCTTTTTTATGAGCCCTTTTTGTATGTTCTGGGTGAGTTCCAGAAGGTAAGAGAAGCCTTTTTTGAACCTTATTCTGGTTGCTTGGTCATTTAAAATCCAGGATTTTGTGTGGCTTCAGGGAAATGTGTATCGCTTGACTCTGGATAGGACACTGGATAAGGAATTGGATGGCTGAATAATAAGTGTCCATAGAACAACTATGGCAGAGAAGAGTAGTGTACAAATTCAGGAATCCTAGGATTTGCTGTGTAAGCCTAGGTTTTTGGTTTTGATCCATGTAAAATGAAGAGATTTAACTGTTACTACCTACTCCTCAAGTTCATTCCAGCCATAAAATTGTAATGCCTTTATTTTTGCAGCTGATTACTACGCATTACTTCCTTTAGTGTCCAGGACTGTTCTGTGTGTGAATACACAAAAACTGAGATGTGAGTTTCTATTTTCATCTTAAATTTTTTTTGGTGGAGAGGTACTGGGGATTGAACTCAGGGGCACTTGACCACTGAGCCACATCCCCAGCCCTACTTTATTTAGAGACAGGGTCTTACTGAGTTGCTTAGTGCTTCCCTGTTCCTGAGACTGGCTTTGAACTCATGATCCTCCTGCTTCTCAGCCTCCTGAGTTGCTGAGATTACAGGTGTGGGCCACCATGCCCAGCTTCATCTTAATTTTTTGAATCAGTATTTTTGTTACAATTAGTTGTATATATATTGTATTTAAAATTTTACATATACATTAAATGGCAAGACTTTTAATACCTTAAATGAGGCTTTTCTTTTCTAATTCTGTATCCTAATGAGTACTTTTTGAAGTTTCATGTTTTCCAACTGAAATTTTAATCATTTATAAAATGTAGAACAGTTTTTATTATAAATATATATATTGACTTTTGCAAAGATTGAGCCAAACAAGATATTCAGAATATCATTATATGTTACAGGAAAACAAAGTACAAGAAAGAAATGCAAACTAGAAGTTTATTTAAGACTTTAACATTTAGTCTACTTATTAGTATTACTGTTTGTACTAAATCTTTCTGTTCCTTCTCCTTTGGTTAGTTTCCTTACCTGTATGCAATAGTCAGTACAAAGCTGAGTATTCAAGGGAAACCCTTGGCAGCATGCCAGAGTTCTTATTCTGTAATTTCTTTGCTTTTCCGGTATTCTGTCTTATATACTCTAGTGTGTTTGGGCTTTCTGGACTCAGTTCCTTCCCTGAACTCTGTAACTCAACTAGGTTCAATCTGCTTTTCTGCTCCCTGCACAGGCAGCCTTAAAAATTTCTAAAGATAGTAAGCTAGCACAATACAAGTAGGGTTCACCTGGTTTGCTTCCTACCTCTCAGGGATCACTGTCTTTCATTGCCTGATGTCCTGTAGCTTGAAAAATAGTTATTTCATATATTTAGTCCAGCTGGTGCAGTCCAGTAGGGCAAATCTTACTTAATATTGACTGGAAAATGATGTTAATTTAAAGCATTTGTTATAAAGATTGGTTTTAATGTCCAAAACACTTCATTTTTAAAACTGACCATTACAAAGTCAATTTAATTAATTAATTTATTTTTACGTGGTACTGAGGATTGAACCCAGTGCCTCACATGTGCCAGACAAGTGCTCTACCACTGAGCCACAACCCCATCCCTCAATTTAATTTTAATATTAAATTTGTTTTACTTAGTTCTTGTATAATTAAGATATTCTTTTTTCCACAAAAACACATAATTCAAAATAATACTAATAAATTATTTAATTAGTACCACTATAGAGTCTTCTTTTTCAACATGTGTCATAGAATAATCTAGGAGTCTGAAATTCCAGATCCTTATTCTATCTCTTTGATGAATGGAAGTTGTGTGCACCTTTATTTTTATAAAAAGTACTTTTTAATTTTTTATATATTGCAGCATGAATCTAGAGGCACTCTACCACTAACCTACATAACCAACCCATTTATCTATCTATCTATCTATCTATCTATCTATCTATCTATCTCTTTTGAGGCAGGGTCTCAATAAGTTGTTCACACTGGCCTTGTACTTATGATTCTCCTGTATCAGCCTCCACAGTAGCTAGCATTACAGGCCTGTGCTGCTATACTTGGCTTAAAAGGACTGTTGTTTTTTTTTTTTTTAAGTAATTTTGAAAGATTAATTTTCTTTTCAA